AAATAAATAATATATATATATATATATATATATATATATATATATATATATATATATATATTAAAATATCTTTTATATTATTTCAATAATGCTAAAATAATGTTAATATTTCCTTTTTTTATGTTTTAAATAAAAATTTATTATTTTATAATTATAATTTATAAATTTTAAAATTTATGTAAATAATATATTTTTTATTTTAATTTCCATCATTTACTTTATAATATTACTTTTTTAATATTTTATATATTTTTTTTTTTTCAGATGATTACATTTTCAATTAAAATAATTAAAATATATCCAATAATAGCTATACATCCTAAAATAATAGTTAGTACATAGAAATATGTTTCAGCCTAAATAATAATAAAAATAAAATAAAAATTAAAACAAAACAAAACAAAATAAAATAATAGATTTAACAAAATTAAATCAAAAAAAAAAATATACTATTAAAAATAATTCTATACATTAAGTTATTTTATTATATTAAGTTTTTCTTAATAATTAATAAAAAAATAATATTAAAAGCATCGATAAATTAAATATGTAAGGTCTCCAAAATTTATTTTCAAATACAATAATTTTTTAAAGATTTTTCATTTTTTTTTTCTTAAAAAATTCATTATATAATACTATTAATGAAAGTTATAGATAAAACAAACCATTTATTAAAAATATGATTCCTGAATAGAACCCCCATTAACTTAAATAGTAGCATTATTCCATATTTTTTATTTATTAATCATTTGAATATACAAATAAAAATATTGAATATAATGAAGCAATGATAGATCCAGGAAATATATATATAAAATATTGGAAGTTTAATTCATATTAATATATCATATAATTCATTTTTTATATTTATGAGCAATTTAATAATTTTATGTGTTATTATTAATATTTTAAATTAAAAAGTAATATTTAATTTAATTTAATAATTTTATTAAATATTACTTTATAAATTTTATTCATATTCATTAATTTCAATTAAAGCTTTTATCATTTTTGTGTATAATTTAAAAAAAATATTTAAATTTTAATATAAATTATATATTGATATCAAAATTAAATTTAAAAAAATATTTTTTTATATTAATTTTGGTTTTTTTTATTAAAAATAAACTAATATTATAAATTATTAATTTAATAATTGAATTATATTAAAATTACTATTAAAATCTATAAAACTAAAAAAAAAAAAAATTAAAAATAATAAATTTAAATATAAATATAAATTTAAAATTTTTCATTATATTTATATCAAATATATTCGTCTTCAAATTTTATGTAAACTTATACTTTTTTTTTTCTTATAATAAAAGATTATTAAAAATTTAATTATTTTATCAATTAAAATAAATTTATAATAAATTAAATTATAGATTACTTTTATCATATTTAACTATAAATTTTCCAAAAAAATATAAAATATAAATAAAAAATTAAGTAAATGTAAAAATTGTATATTAAGTTTAACTAATTAATCAAAAATCTAGATTTATTTGGATAACCAATAGGCCTTCACATGAATGATTCATTATTTTTTAAAACTGGATTCGGTGGTTTTATGTCACTAATATCAATAACATTAGTATTATTATTTTTCAACTCAAGTATCAATTTATTTATAAATAAAGAAGAAGTATTAGTAAAATAAGATCGTAGATATTCAATCGATCCATTCAAATCATAATTAAATACAGATAGATTTATGTTTATGACCAGTATACTTCCCCAAACAAGCACTTTATAATTTTTAAAAAATCCATATTTTAATATTACTATGGAATAAGTATCAGTAGTTCGTGAAGGAAGTACACGTAAAAGGAAATCATATTATATAGAACTAGAGCCTTGCTAGGATTATCATTTCGAAAATTTAAATTCAGAAACGGATTTTGTATAAATATACAAGCAATTTGGAACAGACTTTTTATGCCCAACTTTAAAATCAATAATGTTTATAGAAGGTTTATTTTAATCAAGCACGTTTTCCTATATATCATTAAAAGTAGTTCCTTGTCAAGAAAGTAGTGATTAAAATAGAAAATGGATACCCTAGTCTTGCGCTACAAAAGAATAAATTTAAAATGTTATCTAATAAAAGGGTTTTCATGCAATAGGATTTTATCATACTAATTTTGTATTAAATCCTGATAAATCTAAAAATTATTTTACAAATTATATAAGCGATAAACTTTATTTCACTTTCGTACCTAAATAAATGGCTAAAGTAGTAGATATATACTTTTAAGATATTGAAGTTAATACTGATTAATCGCTTATTCCTTTTAAAAAAATAGAGTCTCAGTTTTTTTTAACCTAAGAGAGTAATGATATTAGAGAAACAACAGAATTAGGAAGAGAAGATACAGCTTTTGTAACTTTAACTTTAAGGAAAAGTCCTTATGTTACCAAAATTAATAGAAGCTTTAAAAAAATTTCGTAATTAATGAGTGAATTAGGTGGTTTTATTTAAATTATTTTCGCTGCAACTCGAATTTTGATGATGAAGTATAATAATATTAATTTTATTTTAGAATTAGCAAATTAGCTTTATTAATTTGAAATTAAAGAAAATAAAAAATCAAATAGTACACATGAAGATAACCCATAATTAAGCGAAATCGAATAAATATCAAATAAATAAGAAGAAATAAAGAAATTAAATTTAGTAAAATATGATTAATTAGAATTAAGAAAATAAAAAATGGATTTTATGCTTGCTTAATAAATATTTAAAAGAGTAATTTAAAAAATAAAAAATAAAGATAAATTATATCTCCAATATTTAAACTTAGAATAAAATCACAAAAAAAATATTAATAAATTCAAAACTTTAAAACATATTACAAAAAAAGAATTCTTAACAAAATAATTTAATAAACTTCTTTAATAAAATCAATAACTTAAAATTGGATTTGGATATTTTATTTCTATTATTACATGCAGTAAATTATGTGGAACATATAAAAATGAATATATAAAATAAGCAACTAAATTTATGAATAGAGATTTGGATATTATTGCAGTACTTGATAAAATATAATAGATAGATAAAATTAAAAAAATTATTTTTGATAAAAACTAGCAAAAATTATTCAATTTCTACGAAAAACCATATATTACTTTTAATAAAACTAATCAAAATAATTAAGGATTAAGTCTTTTATAAAACAAAGAAAATTTTGATTCGTTAGAATCCTATAAAGAACTTTATAACTCTTATCATGTGTTAAATACTTAAAATAATTAAGATAAACTCACAAAAGAAATCAATAAAAGATTATTTTAAAGTTTAGGAAGAAAAATGATTAAAACTTTCGAATTTTCATAAGAAATCACAGAATCTTAAATTTAGATTGATAAAAATTAGTAAATACTTAAATTTGTAAATTTAAATGAAAATTAAAATCCAGACAGGGATAAAAAGTATTTCTCAAATATTAAAAACTCATTAAATGAATAAAGATTACTTGATTATGCTTCTAAAAGAAATACTAATCAAAATTCACCTTCTGTTAATAGTTCACCTTAAAATTAAAGATGTGTATTGCTTTTAGATGATATTACATATATTAAGTCTTCAAATTCAGATCATATGAAAATGAATATAAATAAATAACATTCAAATAATTTTTTTTAAAATTAATAGCCAAATATTTAATAGCAATAATAACAATAATAACAATAATAAACATAATAAAAATAATAACAATAATAACAATAATAACAATAATAACAATAATAACAATAATAACAATAATAACAATAATAACAATAATAACAATAATAACAATATTAACAATAATAAAAATAATAGCAATAATAACAAATATAACAATAATAACAATAACAACAATAACAAAAATAACAAAAATAATAGCAATAATAGCAATAACAAAATTAAAAGCAATAATAACAATAACAACAATAAAAACAATAAAAGCAATAAGATCAATAATAACAAAATTAACAATAATAATAATAATAAAAATATTAATAATAATAATAATAATAATAATAATAATAATAATAATAATAAAATATTTAAATGAATTAATTTATTTTTGATGATAATAATAAAGCTATTGATTTTCATTAATTTTATTTATAAATATAATAGTAACTTAAAATAATTTAATAAATATAATTAGATTATTAAAAGTTATTAATCTTTTTTAATATTAATCAAGAAAAATTTATTAATATAATCAATAATGATTAATCTATTCTAAATAATAAATTATAATTTAATTAATTAATTTAAAATGAAAATGCTGAATTTTAAGAAAGCATTGAGATTAATTTGCCTAAAAGTACTTTATAATTGAATTTAAATAATCATAGTGTATATATGAGTTAAAATATATCATAGAATCATCATAAAATATGATAATTTATTTTATAATTATTTAATTTTATAAAACATAATTTATGAAATATAATAATTTTAGTATAATTACTAAGAAAAAATAAATTTAATTTAATAATTACATATTATTATTAAATATTTAAATAATAAAAATATGCCTTAAATAACATATATATTTTTTTATTAATTTATAACGTAATTTTATTTGATATATTATAAAATTAAATATGAACTTATTTATAAATTTTTAGAAAACAAGAAATTAAAAAACATAAAGTATTTAATTATATAATATAAAATTAATTATTTTATTTTTTTATTTTGAATTAATAATTTATGCATAATTTTATTTAATATTTCCAAAATTTTTGTTTTAAAATTTAATCTTTTAAATAAAAATAATTGCGAAAAAAATTGATATTGAAGTAATATTTCAATTTTTTAAATTTTGGATATCTTAAATGTTTTTTATTTAACTAATATAACTATCAATCAAATTAAAAAGATATTCCGCTTTTACAGGTTTTTGAAGCAGTCCATCAATTCCATTTCTAATAGCTTTATTAATTTCTGCATTATCTAAAAGAAAAGTATATAATTTAAATAAAAATAAAAATTACCATCATAAGCAGTAACAATAATAATTGGGGTATTTATATATTATTCATCTTTTATATAAAATTTAATTTTTGAGGTGGTTTAATATCCGTCCATAATAGGCATATTCCAATCCATAAAAATAAATTAATAAGGATTTTTGCTATCAATTTTATTATGTTTTTTAAATAAGAAAATGGCTTCTTTACCACTGTGACAGCAATCAATTTTAAAAATATATTTTTTATTCTAATTTAAAATTATTTTAATCATATCAATATTAAATTACTCATCATCACATACAAGTACTTTTAAAATCAAAGTTTCTTTTAAAGAATTTTATTATTAATTAATTTATTATAATTGTATAGAATCTTGATAAGATTATTAAGTAATATAATTAGGTCTATAGCAACTATCATAGTTTTGCAATTTCTTAGATTTATAAGTGACATTACTGTTTGAATTATTATCTATTTATGTAAAAAATTTACTAAATTTGAAAAATTTACTAGATTATGTGGCTTATTGTTTTTTTGGGGATGATATAAATTAAAATAAAGATTACTACTGCTGTTACTTCTATTATTAATTATAAATTGATGTATACACGAAATTCTTATCTTGCTTTAGATTTTCATGTTCTTCGAAATCTTAAATATCTAAAATAAAACTGCTATTATACAAATTATTTTATTCAAATGTCAATTTATCAACTACTTTTAAAGAACCATTATTAACTAGTTCTATAGAATTTTAAATATAACTTTAAGTATAATTTATCAAATGCCTTGTTGTAGGCTTTTTAGTTACTTAACCCTCGCTTAAATTAGGAATTTAGAGTTATGAAAATACAGTCTTTTATTAAATATTAACAGTAGAAAACACTTATTTATTAGAAAACCCTTTAATACTGATTTATTTAATTAAATTGATATTATACTAGTTTAATTTATAATAAGAATAAAATGTAAATTTAGATCCTTTGTATTCCTTTTATTTATTTATATTAATATGAAATTCATTTATTTAATAAAAAAACATATATTTATATTTACTTTCGAAGCAACTTACAATTTAAATGGACCTATTATTTCAACTAAAGTTTTACATATATTAAGTCCTAATCCGATTCCATTTTTATTTAAATTTCCAACATTATACGTTTAAAAAGGTTAAAATAAATTTTTGAGAATTTATTCACACATTCCAATTCCTGAATCTTATACTTAAAACTATATAAGTCCGACAGAAAGTCTTTCCATATTTTTATTATTCCAATTATCATTTAAATAGCATTCGATTTCTGAATAATCTTTAATGTGTATTTTTTAAACTTTAACACAGACACCTCCTGTCTAAGTAAATTTCACTGCATTACTTATTAAATTAATTAGAATTTATTTTAGTCTTTATTCATCCGAATATATAACATCGTTTTATTTTATCCAATCATCAGTAGAGAATTAAATTTTGATTTTTTTCTTCTTTCCCACAAATAGATTTCCATTAATTTTTCTAACTCTTAAAGTAAATTAATTATACTAAAACTATGAATATTTAATTCTAACTTTCCTATTTTTTTTATTTATTTTTTTAAATTATTTAATTTTTTTATAAAAATATTTAGATTTTGAAAAAAATAATACCTAATTTTTTTTTATTATTATCTATAATATCTTATATAATAGATTTCAAAAACTAACTATTCACTTTAGCAACAATAATAGCTTCAAAAAAATCATTTAACTATTCTTAGTTTATTTTTCGGAAATTATTAAATAAATTAATTTTATATTATTCTAAATTTATGCATCTAGAAAGGTTGAATATTTCCTTTATCCTGTCAATAGTATAAATAATTGCATTTAAAGGAGTTCTTAAATCATGAGTAACGTTAGCAAATGCTATTTCTTTATATTCAATTTATTTTTTCATTTTATTAATTTATTAAAAATATATATCTTCAATTATACTTAGTATTAAAATTTCATTTTTATCTAAAGTAAAATATTTTATAAATTAAATTTCGTAAAAATTATCATCGCAAATTCCTTTAATAGTTCCTTATTTGATTAATGTATTGGCTAATAAAATCTCGATAAAATTTATACTTTTAGTTTTTGTTGATAAGCTTTCTTGTGGATTCCTAGTATTTATAGCTATTTAATCTGCAGATTATAATTATTATTATTATTATTATTATTATTATTATTATTATTATTATTATTATTATTAATATTATTCATTACGTTTTTTTTTATTATAAAACTAAACAGAATTTTTTTTGCTATTTATATTTTCAAAGCTCTTATATAAATTATTTATTTCTTTTTAATTTAAATTTTATACATTGTTTTTAATCTCTTTAATTTTAAAATTTTTCATAAAAATTTGAAAATTAAATACTTCGTTTATTTTAATTATCTCTGGATTATCAATTTATTTATTTTTTATTTAAATTAAATTTGAATTACTTAAAATATTGAATTTATTTGCTTTTATTAATTCCTCTATTAATATTTATTACAAATATTAATTTCTTTTCTTATTTTAGTAATATTATTATATTTTAATTATACAAAAAATTAATGTTTTCTAAGTAATTTCTCCTGTACTATTATATTTCAAATAAAATATATAAAAATGACTGAAAATGCTAACAATACTTAAAGCAATTTAAAATATATATTTAAAATCATAAATAATTTAATCTTATAAAAAAAATATTATTAATCCTTGTAAAAAAAAGTTAGGTTATTAATCATTTATACTTAAAATAATCCAAAGCAAATCGTATACAATTAAAAGCAAATATACAGTTATTTTTATGCTTTATTTAAGAATATTATTATTATAAAGAATTAATTGTAAAATAAAAAAAAATGATACTAATAATATCATAATTATTGAAAATAATAAGTTTTTCTAACCAAAAAATATATCTAATACAACCAATATTAAACATATAAAAAAAAACTAAATTAAGTTTGTTTTGTCCATTTTG